GCAAGCATGGTATGGATTAAAATTAGATGATGTACAACTTGATTGTACTCACATCAAAATCGACCGTACACAATCTATGGAACAATTTTCCAAATCAAGAAAATTAGCATTTTTCTTATTGAATCGATCAACAGATAATAGTAGTTTCGAAGTACTTGGCTGTATACATACATTAGCTAAATTTCAAAATAGCATTATAAATTTCTGTAAATATATAACTATTTCACAAATACTACATGAGGATATTGAAAGAAAGCAACCAGCAATCGAAATACAAAAAATTAAAAAGGAACATTTATTAGTAATATCGTCTGAAGTAATTGATACGATATTAAGAGAAGAAAACGGTTATATTATTAATTATGAATATGGTAAAACAAAAGAAGTAATTTATGATTATGATGAAATTGAAACCAGATTATGTAATAGAATTAACCGTATACGATTGATTGATACGGAAAACTTCAATTATTTTAATTATCAATTTGAATTGTATCATCAAGATGTATCATTATTCAATGATATACGACGAAACATAAAACAAGAGCAAATATCAACTGATGAAAAGGTCAAGCTCCAACAATATTTAAGGAATACGAAAATGGATGATGTACGACAGTTTTTAGGTTCATTAGATTATGTATTTACATATTTTCGACATGCCACTGGCAGGCCAACAACATCAACGCTAAAGAAATCAGTTAAAATTTTAATACACAATACTTCTGATTTGCACTCATATATTCTCAATGAACAATACCCATTTGCAAATATTCCATTAAAATATGTAATAAATTTATATGAGCTCATTGAAGAATTAGTATTTGATGAAGTAATGAGAAATTATGTTAAACAAGAATTAATTACAGACGTATGCGTAAATGAAGAAGAAAAAGAAAATATTATTGGACAGTTTGTAGGTTCGACATATATGTTAGATAATATTTCACAACAGTTGAAAGATCCACGAGTATGGTTGTCAGTATTAAAACGTTTAATTATACGCGTTATTACAGCAAATATTGATTTGAATGTCTCAATGCAAATTTATATAGAACGAACGGATTTATGGAATGAAGATTTAATACAATATTTAGATCTTATTAAAATTAACGATAATATTTTAGTACGACATACATACGTAATTTTGGAAGGCATTGAAGCTAAATTAAAGCAAAGCAATAATTTGAATACTGATAACAAAACTAATAATGAATCAATAAACATTCGTGACTGGTGTCAAACCAAAACTGAAGACATCAATCGATTAACAACATTGACAGCACCTGAAGTCACAACAATAGGAAACAATAAGAAAAAGAAACTTCGTGTAGACTAATACTTTTTATTTACCACACTGTTTTTTTTTGCTTTTTTTCTTTCACTTTAACAAAATACACTAATTCAATCAGGAATATGTGTCACTTATACTACAGTGCTAGAAGCAACTATATTTATGCATATACATGGTTTACCAGAAGAATAGACGCCCGTGATGTGTATAGATGAAAGTGTTTATTTTATATTCATAACAGATAATATTGATGCGATTATTTTATGAATAGATGAGAGGACGAAACTGTTATTTGACTTTACCAATCAGCTCCTACTTATCTTCTGATATTAAAGCAAAAAATCGAAGCAGAGTGGAAAATCAATGTAACATAATTACAGACTCTCCCTTCTGATAGAGAAGTTTTATCAACTTGAGTGTAAACCCAGTGTCAGTGTAATTTGGAGTAGATGTCTTCTGTTGGTGTGGAGTGTGCATGGGGCATGTGATGTTGATGTGACTGTGGGTGATGCACTCCTCTAGACCCACCCTACACTCCACATCCATACTGTTATCCTCTGATAAAATAATCATAAAATATTCACAATCATAATTCCACTCGATCATTTTTTTCAGCATAGCAATCATCTGACTAATTGAATCTTGTTGAACAATAATTTCTTCATAGGTGGCAAGTTCAAGACAGTTCATATCCGGGCTTTTAGCAAGATTACTCAATTCATAGTAGAATACTTTACATAAATCCTTATACAATGACGATGATAAATTGAGCAAAGTCTATACGGAGATAAAACCTGCTGGACAATTAAATTGAGTTGGAGTATTAGTCCAAACATCTCAAGATCAAAACTATTGAGAAGTTACGTAAAATTGTTTAGTATAAACGATTTCAGGCATAAGTATTGTCAACGGTGACTCATACCTACCTTGGTCCTTGCTCTCTCTCTCTCTCTCTTTGCAATTGTTATTCTTTTCTTCTTTATTCTCTTCTCCATTGTATGTTTATATATATGTAC